CTCTGAGAAACAAACTGAGGGTTCTAGAGGGGAGGGGGGTGGGAGGATGGGTTAGCCTGGTGATGGGTATTAAAGAGAGCACACATTGAATGGAGCACTGGGTGTTATAAGCAAACAATGAATCATGGAACACTACATCAAAAACTAATGATGTAATATATGGTGATTAACATAACGATAAAAAATTAAAAAAAAAAGGAACGAAGCACTGATACATACTACAACATGGATGAACCTTGTGTTCATTATGCCAAGTAAAAGAAGCCAGTCACAAAACGTCACAAATTTTATGATGATGTGAAATGTCCAGACAGGTCAATCCATAGAGGCAGAAAGTAAATTAATGGTTGCTAGGGCTGGAGGAATGACTAATAGGTATGTTTCTTTTTGGGGTAATGAAAATGTTCTCAATTTAGATAGTGGCATAGGTTGTACAACTTTGTGAAAACACCAAAAAAATCACTGATTAAATACTTCAAAACATGAATTTTATGGTATATGAATTATAACTCAATAAAACTGTTATAATTAATAAAAAAGGAAGCAGCATCATAAGTATATTTTTAACTTTAAACTTACATTTTCTGTGAGGCTCATGTTTTCTTTGCTGACATTTAATACTGTTGTCAGTAAAGCCAGATTTATGATGTTGAGTTACTTGACTTACTTCTTGAGGTAGAACTGCAACCTGAAAGTTAAAATTCTTATAAATGATTTAAAAACAAACTCTTATAACTACTTTTCCTCAAAGAGATAGAGTATTTGGTTGTAGAACTAAATAATAGGTGAGCTGACACTTGAGCTCTAACTCTAAAACCCATGTTCACAGAACCACATCAGAGAAAAAGTATGCCAGAAGTTTAATTAGAAAATATTCTAGTTTTGGGTATAGTTTTTGGGTTGTTCTATTTGATATCTACATAAAGCTATTTATTACTCACATTGTCATATTGTCAATAAAGACTTAAATTTTTTAAAAAAAGACTTTTTAAAGAGAAGTTTTAGGTTTACAACAAAACTGAGAGAAAGGTACAGAGATATTTCATATCCTTTGTGTCTCCACACATGTATAGCATTCTCCATTATCAACATCCTCCACCAGAGTGGTACATTTACTATAACCAATGAACCAATCCTGACACATCATTATTACTCCAAGGCCATAGTTTACATTGGGTTCACTCTTGGTGTTGTACATTCTATGTGTTCAGACAAACGTATAATGACATGTATCCACCATTAGAGTATCATACAGATTATTTTCAGTGCCCTAAAAAGCTTCTGTGCTCTGCCTCTTGATCTTCCCCCTAACCCCCACGCAACCACTGATCTTTTTACTGTCTCCATAGTTTTACCTTCTCCAGAAGCTTGAATACTTTTTAAAAAATCATGTTGAGTTGTCTAGAATGTGCTTATCAGATGAATATCAGGTTGCTTATTAATGCTTCACAGATTTAAGTGATATATGTGGTGGCTCATAATTCTTGGTATGTATAGGAGGAAATACAACATGACAGTGTTTAGCTAATATAAATAATGAAATAGCACCCAATACCAGGAGCAACATGCAGAAGATTCTGAGGAAATACATTGTTAAGTGTTGAGTTCCATCTCAAGGCAATAGGCAGTAAAATGACTAGCAGACCTTGCTGGAGATCTAGGGGAATTTTGGCAGTGAGAGAGGAAAGTGGAACAGTAAAAACACATAGCCTGAAATGGGAATTATCTACTTGTGGGAAAGGGAAATAAAGAGACCAATCTTACTAGAACAGACCATTTTACCAAAGAGTTGGATATACTTTACATAAGAATTAGGTAGAGTTAGATACTAGTTTCAGTTGAGGTTGAATTCCACTATTACTGAACAGAGAGCCCTATACATTCTATAATATTTGAATAACATTCTTTGGGGCACCTGGGTGGCTCAGTTGGTTAAGCGCCTGCCTTTGGCTCAGGTCATGATCCCAGAGCGCCAGGATCAAGCCTCACATCAGGCTTCCTGCTCAGGGGGAGTCTGCTTTTCCCTCTGCCCCTCACCTCACTCTCGTGCTCCTTCTCTCTAATAAACAGCTAAATCTGTAAAAGAATGTTATTCTTTTTTTTTTTTTAAGATTTTATTTATTTATTTGACAGAGAGAGACACAGC